ACAACGTAGTTTCGCAACACAGATTGGACAAGAAGAAGACGCTGGGCCACATCATTGACTGCAATGGTGGTACCACCTGGTGCTATGCGGCGGCCACGTCGGCGATGCCCCGAGCCTTTTCGGCAACCTTGTCTAAGGGCTGCGCTGGGCAAGCGAGGGTGCGAAATTCCAGTTCCTGGCCAGCCGCGCTCAGTATCGCTTCTCGCGGTACGCCAGCAGCCTCGACCGCCTGCAGCGCAAACTCCTTGTTTGTTACCTTCGGCATCCGGCCAGCTCAGGACGAGGATGGGGGCGCCTTCGTGTTACGACTCCGCGCGATGACCCAGCCCCTGGCTGCCTGGACCAGGCGTTGGAAACGGCCCACGTTCACCGTGGGCACAACACGCAGGCTTGGAAGCCGCGCGTGCTCGGCTATCGCAGAGCGGAGTGGCTGAGCCGGCAGCGCCTAACCGTATCGCGCGGCAGGGATCGCGGCTGGGAGCCCGGCGAGTCATGGGCGGACCCCAGCCCCGGTGGGAAGAGAGCCAAAGTAGATCAGAGTCACCGGGGGCTGTGGAATCGCCTGAAAGGGAGATCACAAAAGACGGATGAGGACCCCACCGATGCCGGCCGGAGGTTGCCTCCCCTGAATGGGCTTCTCCCTGCGTCAACAGGGCCGACCAGCCAGGAACCCTTGGACACCCAACCCAGCCAGGGTTCGAGCCTGGTAGGTTACGAAAACCCCAGGGATGGAGGGCGAGGGGCCCTGCCACCCTCACTCGCCAACGCTGCGCCGCCCCCAACAGGCGGTGGGTTCCCCATGCCGCTGCCCCCGTAAACGCAGGAAGCGCAGCAGCATGAGGAACCCGGCGCAGGCCAACGGGGCCAGGGCAGCAGCAGCAAAGGCAGGGGGCGCCCGAAAAGGGGGCCCTCGAGGAGAGGGGCTGCGGCACCGAACCCATTTCCTGACGGGTCCGCTTGGGCCTTCAATTGAAGAGATGCCACTCCCCCATCGGTGCCGGGGTAGCCGCGGGGGGAAGGGGTTTGGCGGGCCACTCTCTGGCCCATGGGCGCCAGCATCGTTGCCACCGTGGATCTCAACGCCCGGGCCGTGCCGCACCCCCGTAGAAGGGAGCGAGGGAAAGGTGGAATGAAACCCCGCCCGTAAGGTGGCAGCGAGCCCACCGCCTGCTCGAGCTACCCCTGGACAACCTTGGCGCCTTGCATAAGGATTGCCCCAGGGGCATGGGCAGCTGCCAACAATGGACCATGCTGCTGCCGATCGTGATGCTGATGCCGATGCTGTTAATGATGATGCTGGTTCGGTTGGCAAAGAGGATGAGGATGAGGATGGTGATGGTGATCGCGACGGTTCTTCATGATGATGCTGATGATGTTGATGATGCTGCAACTTATGATTGCGATTACGATCGCGAGGAAGATGAGCACGAGGGTGCAGAATATTCATGATGGTGGTGATTATGAGGGTGAGGATTTGGATGGTGAGGGTGATGAGGATAAGAACAATGGTGATGTTCAGGCTGATGCTGGTGATGAGGAAGAGGACCAGTATGAACCCAAGACTTACCAACGACATTGCGATACACCCTCTCCCCAAGTTCCCCCCCCTATAGGCCCCCAAACGGATTCAGTATATCTGAAGGAAGTGCCCCGTTGGAAGACAACCACTTGAACATTCGGAACTATACCAGAATGCCATTCCCGGGAATCGAACGCCGCGAATCACAATTATTGCTGCTATTTGACGATGCCCAACCGTGCCAGACCACCGTTCTTGAGACTTCAACGTTGAGATTCAACCTAGCTGTTGCGCCCTGACGGTCCGACATCATGCCAAATTATTGTTTCTGGAAGGTCAGCCATGGTAATATTTGAAGTTGTTGTAGGCTTTTCAAACGCATTTGCGCGGCGCTGAAGAGAGAACCACATGTTGACAATAAGCTGCGATTTTTTGATGTTTTAGCAAATGTGCGCCGCGCTACAACGAGAGCCAGATTTTGAAAACGTCCCGCTTTCCATCCGTGAAGCTTTTGCACTTGTGTAGAAGAAATGTGCAGGCGAAAACCACATTTTGAAAACGATCCGCCCTCCATCCGCAAAATCTCGAGTTTTGATGGAGAGGAATGCGTGAGGCGCTAAGGTGAGAGTTCTGTCATTAATGAAAAACGGCCCGCCCTCCATCCGCGAAGCTCCGTGCAACCTTCTAAGAAGAAGTTGCGCGGCGTTAAGGCCAGAGCTGCATTCCCCACACCAGAAATCAACGGACGTCCTGGGGTCTCAGGGTTGGGTTTCTTGTGGAAGGTTTCTTGTGGTCGGGCCCCTGCTGTAGCCACATTCCCAAAAACCTGTCGCAGACGCGATGCAGGGCTGCCCCCCCGCCTCCCCGGTTGCGCCTCCCGTTGGAAGTCTCGCCGGCCCAGGGAGGAGGAGGTCGGGACGACGGAGAAGGAGGAACGCACGGAAGGTGCAGGGTATGCTTAATTCGGGCATGTCCCTCTACAGGAGGAATGTCAAAAATAGTAATAAATAGCATTGGGACGACGTCTTGACGATTTTTGAATATTTTGGAGCATGTTGGGGTATCGTTTATTTTTCCTGCAGAATCCGCCGGTAGGAGGACATGCCCGACCTTAGGGTATGCAGAGACGGAGTGGATGAGGGTGCGGGGAAAGGAAGAGGGAGGGATACTGATGGCGGGGGGGGAGGGGCAGAGGGAGATGGGAGGAGGGGAGTGTGGATGGGCGTGTGGGGAGGGGTGAGGGGGGACCGAGGAGACGCGCGAGAACGAGGAACGGGGGGAGGGGGAACGGGCGTGAACGGGCGAGGGGTGACGGACCACGGAGGAGGGATAGGCATAGGGGAAGGCGGAGGACTGAGGACAAGCCAGGGAGGAGGGCGCGGAGAGGCTGAGCGAAGGCCACGGCCTGGCGAGGCGTGGACGGTGGCTGTGTCGTGCAGGTGGCTTCCGCGCAGGAGGACGCCGCTCGCGCAAGCCCCCCCCCCTCCCTCCCAGGCTGGGCACCGCCAGGCTCAGCTGGTGGGAGTGCGAGGCCGCGGACGGCGGCCCCCTCCGCCTGGACCTCGGCGTCGACCGCAGGGGCAAGCCGAACGGCTCCCTGACGGTGCGCGTCGGCGGCTCGGCGCCGCCTGCCCCCCTCTCCCGGCGGGTCCCGCGCTGCCGGGACGTCCCCCTGGCAGGTCCCCTGGCGCGTCCCCCTGCGGGTCTTCCTGGCCCGTGCCGCGGACGGGTGTCGTGGCCGGACCCCCCGGGCGCGTCCCCCGGCGAGGCCCCCCTGGCGCGTCCCTGGGCGCGC